AGGAGCCGTGAGGAAGCTCAACAAAGCCAGGTTTTGCAACCAATATTTGCACTTTCCCTTAACTGGAAGCTACTAGATTTTTTTTTCCAGACAATATTTGGAAAACTACAATCTTATCACCCTAAACAGCAGATGAATATTTTGAACTTTTGCCTATTTCTTCTGACTCAGTGAGGAGGGAGGAAGGAACTGCGGAAAACATTTTATTTATCTGCTTTGCAGACCACATCACTCTTCCTTTAAATGTTCATGTGTCGAAGCATGATTGTCTCTGTCGTTTGCACATCATTTGGAGAAGCTTCATGTACTCCATCCTGACGTTAGCTGTTTTTCTTACAAGGACGGGGAAGCTATGGCCCCTCACGGCCTTGGTGAGAGGATGAATTAACTAAACTGTTAAAGCTACCAGGAAGAAACTGTAAAGCTAGAATTTTCATTTTTGCCAGGGACTCCCCAGTCTTCTGTTCTTACAGGACATGTGTCAACACTATGTTTCAGCCTGGGCTGAAAAATGTGATGAGACTTTGTCAAAGCTCCCCCAGGCTAACTCAACACTGTCTTAGTGGCTCTGCTCTTCAGAGTGCAGAGCTCTCACCTCCTCTTTATATCACTGTATTTAGGAGATAGCTACAGGATCATGCCTCAGGGGCGGTCACACCACAGCACATCCTCTTTAAGGCCAATGTCCTCTATAGCTTACCATTCTCCATCCTAAGGCAGTAAGGCTGCAATAAACCTAGTGGTTGTATTTTCCCAGAATCCTGAAGGTCACATTGATGGCATTAGCAAGTGGGGCCTTTGGAAAGTGATTTAGGTCTTGAGGATGGAGCCCTCACAAATGAGATTAGTACACTTGTTAAAGACGCTCTGGGGTTTCTCTCTTGCCCTCTTTCTTCCATATAAAGACACAAAGAAAATAACAGCTTTCAAGGCTGAGGGGTCCTCCACAGAACCCAAGATATCCCCTGGAGTCACATGTCCGACCTCTAGAATGATAAGGGTTAGTTTACTGTAGTTTCTAAAATGCCTAGTTTATAGAACGTTGCCGCTACAACACTCCTATAGCTGCAGGAGTTATTGTTGGCTCTTGGGTAGGTAAAGGAATGTTTTGTGACTTCCTCTGCTTAATGGGAATTCACATCCCAGTGAACAACCTGCTCTTAATGGTGGTCTCACACATTATCACCCATTGAGGAAGTCATCAAGGATCAAGATGGGTCTGCCTAGCTTTTATCATATCTGAAAGAGAGACAGAAAGACAGAGAGACAGAAAGAGACAGAGACTATAGTTTTATGAGTAGGATGAGAACGAGGGAGAGCCAGGATTACACAGTCTCCTTTAACACATCTCATGTGTGTTTCCATGTGGTGTGAGGAAAGAGGACCTCAGCTTAACTCTCCTCCTGTGAATGCCTCGGTGTTCCTGGTAGAGAATCTGACTCCCTCAAACACGCAGCAGCAGTGTTTAGATTTCGAGGTGCACTGAGGGCGGCCCACAGTGAGGAGGTCATGGAAAGCCTGAATAACAGCTCTTCAGCTTCACACTCATTTTCACTGTCATTATTATTAGTATGCCTCAGAGTGCACTCACCAAAGTCTCCTGGGGACATACACAGGAAATATGAATGGATGTTCACAAACGCCTTGAAATGAGGCAAATGTTCATTGGCAGGACATCAAAAAGCGAAATGCAGCATGCTTCATGCGCTATCGTATTATCAGCGAAAATACACAAGTGCCAGCTATTTGAAACAATATGGATGGACTAAGAAACACGGTGCTAAGCAGAGGGGGGAAAGCTTGCTTTTAAGACTACCGGTGGTCTGAATTCCTTTGTACGAGCATTCAAAGCTGATTCAGGTGTTTAGGTTTGGTTACTACGGTATGCTTTTAAAGAGGATGGTGAGAGAGCCTGGCTCGCCCTCTTCTCAATCCAGTCATGAAACTATAATCATTCTCTCTCTCTCTCTCCCTCTCAGGGCCAGAGGTTAATATCAAGTATCATTTTGTATGGCTCTCTGCCTTATTTTTCAAACAAGTTCTCTTGCTGAACCTGGAGCTCCCTGATTCAGCAAGACTGGCTTGCAAATGAACTACAGGCATCTTCCTGTCTCTCCTTCGCCAGAATTGGAATTTGAGGTATATGACACGATGCCTGGCTCTTTATGTAGGCGTTGGGGATCCAGGCTCAGGTCTTCACGCTTGTATTCAAGAATTTTACCTACTGAGCCATATCCTAGGCCCAGAACTATTCTTTTTAAGAAGCAAAGGAATGATCAACATGAAAGCAAGCAGCGGAATGAGCCAGGAAGGATACAGGCTAAAAACAGTCATATCAGTTTCCATTCTATGTAGCATTTACATGTCACGTGTGTGTGTGTGTGTGTGTGTGTGTGTGTGTGTGTGTGTGTGTGTGTGTGTAGGTAGGTAGGTAGGTAGGTTTCTTAGTTTACCTAAATGAAAACATTTAAACTTCAATGTTAAAAGCTGAGAGATTTTTCTAATCTAAAATCAGGTGTTTCAAATGTGCTAAAGACTTGACTATATTGAAGTTTGGGTTTGGAATGCCTCCTAATGGCGCATGTATTCAAGGCTTGGAACTAATGGGATCCGGTGGCAACTCAGAGGTATGTGTCTGCAAGAGCTTTTCAGTCTCTGCGGTATGCCCTTTAAGGTGAATATGGGAACCTGCTTCTTCCTCTTTCTCTCTTAACCTAATATTAAAGCTTTTGGCTTCATCAGGTGCTTCCTATCCTGCTACAGGCTCCAAAGCAGCAGCCTTAATCAGCCTTGGAAACCTTTTTCTCTTTGTAAGTGGATTTATTGGGGGATATTTCCTTCAGTAACAGAAACTGACGGTCATGTATGCAGAAGTCTCCATTGTCCTAGCTCCCAGTCTACAATTGCTCCTCCTATACTCACCCCAGGTTACTCTTTCTTCTTTTTCCTTCCCTCTTCATTACTAACAAAGCAACAATTGGCCCCCACAAATGGATGGATTTCCAGCTATGACCCAGGAGTGATGGGCTCTTGGTCCCACTCAAGTTTCTCTCAGTCTGAGTCATCCATGGAGGACTGGCTGACCCTGGCTGATTTGCATCCAATCTAAATGTTGAAATATTCACTTTGACTCTGGTTTCAGCTATTTGCCTTCTTAAAAGAAAAAAAAATGGCAACCCAGCAAAGTACAGATCAGCATGTTTCCTGAAATTAGGATTTTGGTGGACATTTTGAATGTGGATGAGATATAAACTTAACTCCAAGGCAAGTAAGCATCAAATGAAGTATTCATTTTCACCAACAATTTAAGCAAGTTGTTGTCATTAGTGACAAGAATTGTGGATATATGCCTAGGAGTGGTATAGCTGGATCTTGAGGTAGCCCTATTCCTAATTGTCTGAGAAAGTGCCAGACTGATTTCCAAAGTGGTTGTACAAGTTTATATTCCCACCAGAAATGGAGGAGGCTTCCTCTTTCTCCACATCCTCTCCAGCATGTATTATCACTTGAGTTTTTGATCTTAGCCATTCTGATGTGTGCAAGGTGAAATCTCAGGGTCATTTTGATTTGCATCTTCCTAATGACTAAGGATGTTGAGCATTTTTAAGTGTTTCTCTGCCATTCAATATTCCTCTGTTGAGAATTCTGTTTATCTCTGTACCCCATTTTTAATTGGATTAATTTAATTGGATTTTAATTGATTTGTTATTGCTTAACTTCTTGAGTTCTTTATATATTCTGGATATTAGCCCTCTGTCACATATAGGGTTGGTGAAGATCCTTTCCCAACCTGTAGGCTGTCAATTTGTTTTGAAGATAGTGTCCTTTGCTTTACAGAAGTTTTTCAGTTTCATGAGGTCTCATTTATTGATTATTGATCTTAGAGCCTATGCTGTTGGTGTTCAGTGAATCTTATGAAAGAAGGGGGAGATAGAAAGGCCTGGAAGGGTCTGGAGCTATACAAGGAGAACAACAGAACCAAAATATCTGGGCCTACGTGCCTTTTCTGAGACTGATACTCCAACCAAGGACCATACATATTTGGAGATAACCTAGAATCCCTGCACAGATGTAGCCCATGGAAGCTCAGTCTCCAAGTGGGTTCCCTAATAAGGGGAACAGGGGCTGAGGGTGAGTATAGGGTCTGTTGTGTTTCTGTCTACCTCATCGCTAAACATGGAGACAGCTCCCTCATACTTTCTGGGTGGTTTGTATGTAGATCTCACCTACCCACAAAGGTTAATGTGCTAAAATCTTGATCCTAAGTGTGCAAATATTGAGAGGTGGCAGGACCTTTAAGGGGTGGGATATAGTGAGAAATGACTAGGTCATTTGGGTTATCGAACTCAGAGGAGATGAATGTCTGCTTCTAGGGAGTGAGTGGTGTCTCACATAGTTTGTGTGGTTACCTTGAGAACGAGTTGTTAGTACAACCTATGCTAGACTCCCTGCGTAGGTTAGTCCTCTTCTACACACCAAACTGGGCACTCTTGTATTGTGTTTCTTCCATGTGATGTCACTTGCCTGCTATGACATCATGAGCCCTTTGCTGACTATGGCCACCTGAACTCAGGCATTTCAACCTCCTAGAAAATGACCCCAGAAAAGCCTCGGTTTCTCACAACATATTCAAGTCAGGTGTTTCAGAGATGTGGACTAAGACAACCCCTGGATGAAGGCAGCAAGGAGCAGTGTTTCCAGCTATGTTGGAACTGATATGCCACATAAATAAGAAATGAACAGGATTTTAGACGCCCCTGTGGTTAAGGGCTAGCCTCTCACGGCTGGTTCCCTGATGATCCATCATAACATGCCAGTCGACTGGCTCTACTTCATTAAACATGATGCTATTGTATCCTGGGGTTTTCAGAAAATGTTTATTTGGAATACCATAAGCTTCAGCCCGTAATTTCTTCCACAGAGATCACTAAAGATATAACTAACACTCTGTAGCTAATGGACTGAAGTGGGAGGTGAAGAAGAACAGGCGACTACCAAAACAAAGTGGAATCCACATTTATTGATGAGAGAGATATATATACACAGGAGTTAAAACACTTAGTGAAAGATTGGATTCACAGGTTATTTCCAGCATGTGAAGAATATCCAGTTACTTTACATACAAAATGTTACAGTCATCAGTGCACATCACAGAAAAGCTAAAGACAAACACAGGAGATCTCAACTACCCAAGGTGTGCTTTACCAACAAGGCATTTCCTAGTACCATATATAAGAAACAACTTCCAAATTAGTTGAGTTTCTCATCTTTTTGCATTCATTAGTCTTTAAATAACGTGTGCTTGTAGATACACTCTGCTACATGACATCAGAACAACGGGGAGCGTGAACGTGAGGGAAACCATTAATCTTATCCTTCATTCAAAATAATCCTGCCTAAAGTCTACTTTTCTTTCGGTATATATATATATTTTTTTCATCCAGAATTTGAAGGAAGCAGCCACCACATCCCCTCACCCCACACATCTGGTGAAGCTCCTGAAAAATGAATGTGCTTCACACCTTTGTGATCTTTCAGAAAACAGAGGAGCACGTTGCTCTTTCTTCCATCATTGTGGGGAAGAAAGGGGTTACAGGAACTACAACCTCCGCCCCCCCCCCCCCGACACAGTATATTTAGTGAGAATGCAGTTTGGGAGAACAGCATCTAATTGCCACTGTAAATTTCATTTTTAGCCATTCTATACATGAAAACAGAAGACACTGGGTAGAGGAGATCAGACTCCTGTCACATACTTGGGATCAGTGCATCAGAGGTCAATCCTCTGCCATTGTCAAGGCTGGCCCTTGGCTGTTGCTGACCCCTGGCCTTGCTGTGCTTTTAGTACTCTGTTGTTTTCTGACAAGTGTGCTTTTTGCTGCCAGAACTGTGCTTTTGGGGGGGGTCTCACCTGTGTGGCTGCTAATCAGTAAACACTTTCCTGTTCTCCAACTCAGGATGTCAAGGGGAACAAGGCTCTTCTTAAACTTAGGCCATAAACATCATGATGAAGATCTGACAACCAGAGAGGCTGACCCTTCCCCACAGGCATGGTTGAGTATGCCAAGGAGAAGCTGGACCTTCTTTTTTTTCAGTCTCTTTAAGCCCATACCACTGTGAGGACAGAAGATGAACGTCCTCATTCTGGACCTTCCTCAGCCTTGGCAACCACAAGTTCCACTGGTGCACTGAGTGGGAATGACGCAGGCATGGGATGACCTTTCATTGTGTAGCAGGACACACATTCAACCCCATCCCTGCTCAGAGCTGTATTTACAACGGTGCTGGACACACAGATTTGCAAACAATCATCAGTACGGAGGTTTAATGGGTAAGTTCTTCACTCAGATCACATTGAGAAAGAGGAATAATCCCTAGTAGATACCTAAGACAGCAAAGAAAGGTTTTCCAAATGGCAACTGACATATCTATTGTGTTTAGCTAAACAGCAAAGAACAACATTTAAATTAAATTACATCTATACACTGTTTCACGGAAATTACACACAAACACCCACATTATCGCTACACAAAGTGCATAGGCACTGTCTTCATGCGAGAACCAAGTGTCAGGGTGTACACACAGAACATCATGCTGGGATAGCTAGCTGTACTTGAAAACAGATACAATCTTAACCAGTTGAGGGCACATCTAATCTGTTCACTTAATGAGGAGCAGGTTCAGATACGTCCTAATATGCAATCTATGTAGTAAGTTATTCTTTCAAACACACTAAAACACTAGGCCCTCTCACCGTTGCAGAGAGTGTGTTTGGCGGAGGAAAGACACCTTGGGTTTTCCGTGGCTTCGGGCTTACTTTGTGGGGAGGTTATATAGTTTGCTGCCTACCTGAGGAAAAACTATTTGGGTTTATTCTAAATAATCTCAGTGTGACTCCCACCTCCAGCCCCCCCCGTGATACAGCATGGATTCTGATTGGGTACTAAAAATATGTTGTCTTTAATTTCTTTTTTAAAAAATATATGTTCAATTCATATAACAATGTGAGGTTTTACTATCATTTTCCTTGGCAAGACTTAAAACTGCACCAAACCTGTCCCGAATTCTTTTCTTACCTCTCATCCTCAGTCTTTCCTATTCAATGTCTTCCGAGGCCAATTTTCACATAAACATTTAGGAACACATGGGAGATTCTGATGTAGAAATGATCCCACTATTAGCACCGGCCTTTATTCATCTTATGGGAAAGTAAAATTAGAATGGTCGATTGGGAAAACAAGGGCTGGTGTTGGAAAAAAGAAGTCAGCACCATTCCTTGATGTTGAAGGATTAACTGTCCAGATGCATCTCCTACCTACCTACAGGGTTTAAGCAATTCCTTGATCTTAGTTTGGTCATGTTACTCATTGCATCATGAAGGACTGAGTTCCTAAATTTCTCAAATGTGGCTGTGTGCTCAGGAAATAGTTGATACCCCTAAATTGCTATAGAAACTTGTGCTCTAATTTGTTATACTTCTGTCTATGTGGTTGTATAGAAAATAGTGTAAGAAAATATCTGTCTGAAAAATTACAGATACTAAATAGATTATATCAGCCTACTCTGAGTCTTTACGATTTCTGAATAGATACAAACTTGTAACAAGATTAAATTAATGTTAAACTTGTATTATCCAGGACTATAAATATTTCTCTGTATAAATAATAGCAAAGAAATTTGGGGATTTGTGTAAGAAACAGTGTAAGATTGGGCCAAGGTAATTTTGTAGATTTGAGGCGCAATACTGATCAGAGGGCAATCTGTTGTCCCTAGTAACACAAATTCATACCAGGAAGCTAAAATATATCTGCTGGCATCAAGATAAAATGAGATTCACAGTTTGCCAGCTCTCTCCTCAAGCTGTAGAAAACAAATAGAAAAAGAATATACAAAAAAATTCTCTAAAAAGTAGGTTTGTTTTAATATGTACAAATCTTTATAGTGACCAGATGATCTGGTCTGTGTTGTGCAACATGGGGATGGAATGCTGAAGATTTTATGGAGGAAAGAAGAGAAAGGAAAGGTGGGAGGTGGTTTGCAGGAGAGTCTGGATACTGAAGGCTCTTAGAACAGCAGAGGGAATGTGTGTGTATTTAGCCACCTGGGAGCTGAGTTTCTGATTGTGTGTGTTGGGGTATTTGTTCCAGCGTGAAGAAACCTTAGGCATGTTTGACCAACTTCCTTGGCTCCTGAGTGTATCTGTCATCTACCAAAGGCAGAAAGGGCTGTTTCCAGGCAAGACAGATGGTTGTCATGAGGAGAAACAGAACCAAAAAGCAGCAAGGCTCTGACTGCATCATCCTCATGTCCCAGAGGATGATGACAAAGATAACAGTCGGTTGTTAGGTTCCAAAGCTCGCCCAGGGATTGGGGATCTCTCCAGAGGAACCCAGTTATGCTGCCACCCATTGTCCAGGTCATGTGCTGCCTCTGTAGAACACTGGTCTGTTCCAATAGTACATTTTATTCTCAGCACAAAAGTTTCTCAAAATACAACCAGAAAGACTTTTAAAAATACCAAAATGGGCAATTGGATCCGAGGAAGAAAGATAAAACAAGATCAGGTATAGAAAAAAGGAAAAAAAAAAACTGATCAGGAATGATTCAGGGTCTTAGCGTGAACCTTATCCCACAGGACCTGTGGAACATCTTCCACTTTTCTGCAGTGACCTTAAAGTGGGCCAGTTAAGAAATACCTTTCTGTTCTCACTTTAGATTTTCTTACACCTTGAGGGGAGGGAAAAACCCAGCCACCATCATCACCACTAACAAAAATTAATCCCTTTGGACCTGGATGTCCATCTTGCTTCTCTAAATTGGAAGAGCTGAAATCTTTTCTGACAGTGACAGTGTTCAACACACTAGCTACAGGAACTCCACTGTCCTAGAAATTTGGTCAGAGGGTGAAAATGCAAGCTATGGCCTATTACAATAGAACCAGGGAGGGTAAGGCATAGCCACCTCTCACATTTCTAGTTACTTGGAGACTCTGTAGTCAGAGAAAAGGAAAGGGGAAATGGGAAAACTCCATTCTTGTAAGCGACAGATTCTCTTGCTGGGATGTTATGTCTGTTACACAAGTAAATCAAGGGGAAAACTTTCAAATGAACTCGAACCCTCCTGCATGTCTCTGCTGAGAAAAGGATGGGCATGTCTGCACGCATGCGGATGGAAAGGTATGTGGAAACGGTTGCTGTGGTTGTGCAAATCTTGCACCAAATGTCAGGAGTGTTCAAGCTTGTTTTCCAGAGGCTCCCAAATTCCCACATAGGGTTGGCAATTAGGGCCGTTTGGGGAAAATGGTGTGGGCTGAGTATTTGGAGTGGGCTCTGTTGCTACAGCAGGTATGATGCAAGAACTCAAATGCAGCTGCGAGGTGTCTGGTTCCTCACGGAGACTCTGCCGAGCATTTCCCTGGGCAGAATCGCTGCTTCTGGGAGAACGGTGAGTTTAGATAATAAGGATTTTGCCCAAAGGATATTTACTGGTGTCTCAAAACAGCAGCGAACTGTGGGTTAACGCGGATACTCTTCAAGTGTGCTACAAAGCATGGAATGACTAAGAAGCTTGAGCTGGAGTTTTCCCAAAAGGGATGAGAAAAAAAAAACTGTCTAAATTGAATATTCAATATTGTGTATGGCTCTCCAACTTAATAAGCTGTGTTTTAGAGCAGCAAGATGGAAGAAAGCAAAGCAGAGATTAGAAAACTGCATTTGGCCCTTCTCTTCCCATATGGAAACATAACAGGCCTGGGCAGACAGTGGCTTGTGTAAGCTCTACAGCTACGAGAGTGCAGTGTCTAATCAATGTCTCCTCTCCCAAACTGCGTTGTTTTTAAGTATCTCTGTGCCATTGCCTGATTATGGCATTAGGCGGTGAGACTGGCTATTACTCAGTTAAGATCTCCTGTTATCTGCTCCCAAATCAACCCCCACGTAACTATATGGTCATTACCAAGCAGCCTATTGAGCAATGGGGCAGAAGGAAGGGAAAGGAAAGGAAGAAAACGGTGATCTGGGAAGAGGGTTTTAGGGAAAATCCTAAATGGGTTTTAAGCAGATTTTATCTCTCCACCCATGGAAAAAAATAGCTGTCATAGCTGCCACCTGGTGCGGTTGGCATGCAACGACCCTTCCTTTGGGTTTAGCCAGAGATTACTATAGATGCCAACACCATTAATCTTATGTGACAACTTACTTTGGGAAACCCTTGCTTCAGACTCTTTAAACCTCAATTTTCTTATGACCCTGGAGTCCCGAAAGTCTCCCAACACTGGAAAATCCCATCTGGTCCTTCTTAGCTGATAATGAGCTCAGCTGGAGAAGAAGCAAAGCAAAAAAAATGCAAGGCAGACAGAATGGTCCTAGCAGAAAGCAGAAAGCCCCTGAGGGCGTAACTGCTGTAGTTTTAGTCATCAAAGGAGGCCAGAGCAAAGGAGGCCAGAGCTGCCCAGGCTTGTTTATTGGGAGTCAGAGCATGCGAACACCTATTTGGATTTATTGCTTTGTTGCATGAGGAAAATAATGTGTTAGGGAAGAGCCTAGATTCTGACAAAAGTGAAAAATTACAGTAAACTTCTACTTTGGAGAACAAAGGGAAGATTATTTGCAAAAAAACAAGGCAGGGTTGCATTTTCTTCTGAGGACATCTGAGTTCTCAAAGGGCCTCTGACTGAGCGCACCTGTATGTGGCACGATTTTCCAGCCCCCGTTGGAAGTTAGCTGAGATCTAACCAGCAGATCACTGAGAGGCACAGCATTCCCCCCCCTCCCCCGCAGGGACTAGCCCACACACCAAATTCCTTCTACCTACTCCTCAGCTTTCCTAGTTTTCATCCAGGGACATTTTGGTTCTTTTCTTCACTCTGTGACTGTCCAAGCTGACTAATAATTAGTGAGGAGAAATGGCTATTTGTCTTTTACAGAGCATGAAAACTTTTCCAGGCAATGAGGCCATACAGAGTTTTGTTACACACAACAGAAAGTAAAAAAGAAACAAAAAAACAAAAACAGAATCTGGTAGTGACCTTGTGGTCCTAAACTCAACTACAGGCCTTTACTGAGATTTTTGTGTGCTTAGGTCCTGAGGGCTACCTGGATTCTCTGGTGTACAGCCACCCTCAGAAACCTAGGGTGAAATATTACCTTCTAAGCCATCATTTTGTTCACCGACTGAAATGGCTTTGCTGAATTTTACTCAATAGTTAGATGGCGATTCATCTTGCATCTTGAAGGGAAAGGATGGGACAGAGAAGGATGAATGTCTATTAGGTTGGTTTCTTCTGAAATGATTTTGATTGCTCAAAAGTATTAACTGAATATTAACTGAATATTAAAGGAATAGTGCTGCCAAAGCCCCAATATTCAAACCTCTCTGGAGTTGGTGTATGTGACACATGTCCTCTGGTGTGTGCGTGTGTGTCAGGTTGGTGATTCAGCCAGGACAGCATTCCTGCAATAGAAATGTCTGTATGAGAGAGAGAGAAGAAACTACACATAGAAGAGGAATCATTATGGGCATTTAGATCTGCATGGCCCTATTAACGCACACACACAGTGGCGGGCACCCTATTTAAACTAAGGCTACTAGAATATACTCTGGATCTGTTTGCTCAGCTTATGGCACCTTTTCTAGGCAAGGAAATCCCCAGTGGGCGCAGCGTGGGAAAATTTATGAGGCCTTATAGAAACGAGACACAGTACTACGCCAGTTCCATCTACATCCTAGATTTTCAGGAGACTCTCCTAGTTGATAAGTTACTTCTTTTTAATATGATTTATTCAATTTCCAGATAAATGTGATTTCCTCAGCATATCCTCATGAGATAATATATGTAGTCAGCAAAACCTGACTGGGGAAGCAGTGTACCTTGGTTCTCCCGAACGTATTGTCTTCTTGTATAGGCTAACAGGACTCCTAAAGGAAAGCCAGAGACGAGACAAACAAGAAAGATCTCAGGCAGCATCTGAGGGATGACACATATTGTCATCCTACGAGTACCCAGGTAGCCTGTGTCTTCTCCTATGGGGAGACACGTTGTATGGAATGGTCATTCCCAACTCCCACATTTCAAAACCCACCACGCTCGTGGGTGCTTTGCCTAGATACATGTACTCAGCATAGGAAGGCCCTGGGGTACCACTTTCAGACTATCTAGCATAGTTCCGCGGCTACAACGAAGACTATCCTCTTGGCACCTCTTGCCTTCTGTAAGGGATTAATTGTCTGTCACTGCTACCCTGTTCACTGTCCCTCAAATGAAACCGGGAAACCCACCTTCAAAACCATCTGCCTTCAAAAACCATCTGCCAGCTGATGCGGTGGTGCCCACCGATAATCTTAGAACTGAAGCTGAGCAGGAGGAATATTAATTTGAAGCTAGCCTGGGCTACATAGCAAGACCTTGTTTCAAAAGCCAAAAGCTGAAACAAAACAATTCAGTTAATACTGCTCAATGGTGATCCTTCTTTTAATTTAACAGTTGGGGTTTTATAAGGTAAAGACCACAGGAATCTCTTGTCTTTTGTATGTTTCCAAGCTGTCTGATTTGAAGGAGAGAAGTCACAAGAGAGGCTAAAAGAAGAGGCAATGTCTCAGTGCTCTTCCTCAGAAATGCTGGGTCCTTTTCCTATTTATGTCTCCTCAAGTTTACTTGCCTCAAAGGACACATGTGCTCTGGCCTATGACCCAGGTTCCATCCGCTCCTTTCAGTCAAATGTTTTGTTTCTCAGTGGTCCAAGTTCCCAGCTAACCCTTAAACCCAGGAATCTTAGGAAAATACTGTGGGTTATTCAACAGAAGATAATAATGGAGACATTCACAATTTTAGCTTGCACAACCGATCATTAAGGATTCGTTGGCTGCCTACCACAGGCAAAACACCATGCTGTGCCAATTATATTATTTCTTTCTTCAGACTTTCATGGTCCTTGGAAAGGATTCCATCTGGAAAGTTGTGTAGAGCCATTCTTTGTCACCATGTGGTGGACTGAGGCTGCCTGAACTCTGTCACAGGAATATCACCTTCATAGGATGTTGTACAGATGTTTCTGTTCCTTTCTCTCCAAAAGGGAAGAATGTTTTTGCGTCTTGTGATGGTTTTCATGTGCTTTGATATTACAGAACACTTTTTATATATTAGATATATACCAAGATGATATGAAAAGAGGCATAGGCAACATGTGTCTCTTTATGTGAGGAAGCAAAAAAACACTCATCCATGTAAGTGAATGAGAATGGAATGGAAGCAATTTGGATATTGAAAATATCTTTTTGTTAGGAACTTAAATGAGAATCTATGAGCAAAACAACAACAAAAACACAGATCAGACAAACACACTTGTCTTCACTATGCTGTATGAGTGCAAGTCAAACAAGTGAGTTTGAGTATTTAAATCTGGTTAAAAATTAGGTTGACTATGCTCCTTTCCTTTTCTCAAATTATAATCAAATAATTCCTAGTTCATTTTCAAATTTGAAATTTCCCATTTTACACACACACACACACACACACACACACACACACACACACACACACGGAAAGGCAGACCTTTCAGAGTATGGGCACCCACTAAAACTCTGAAACATTTAATTTAGTGCACAAAAAGGTAAGTTGTCAGAGTTCCCTAAGACAGATGCTTTCAGTCAAGGTAGGTGCCAACCCTACAGCCTGTAGGGGCGGTATTTCTAGAATCTTCTAGTAGAATCTTTTGTGTGGAACAAGGCGAGCCATGAACACTTTAAGGAATGCCACGCCGTGAGTGCTCACTGTCTCAAGTCCCTGGCATGTACGACACTGCTTTCCTCCTCTCCCCTTGGGAAAGCATCATCCACAGTTCTGCATGAGACAGGGAGAGCTGGCAAGAACTTGTCTTCCATTCAAAGTGGTTTCTCCAGCAGCATCCATTCAGACAACAACACAAGTGAGAAAATTAGACAGTTATGAAGCATTATTTGGCAAAGACACAGCACAGTGCCTGTCATCATGGGTGTACAACAGCTCCTCTACACCTCAGCTAACAGATTAAGTAAACATAGAAATATATATGCATTTTCCTTTTGTAAAGGAAGCCTGTTTAGAGCATCTTTTACCATAAGATACGCTGGGGAGCTTATTCAAGAATTGGCTGAGAGTCAGGTGATTATTTTTCACGTTTCCAAGGCTCTTCCTCAACACTGCAGTCAGCTGACTTTCCATTGGCCGCCAGAGTTACCTGAAAACAATTACCATCAACATCCAACTTACAGGCCATGAACCACAGAAACACCACCCATGGGTCATGTGGAGAAGCACCAGATCCAAGCTTACAGTGTATGCCGAAAACATAGTTTTAGATGGTATTCCTCCAAAATTAGTTGTGAACCCGTCTTGGTGTTCAACAGTGAGTGGGGAATTCAATTATCCATATTTGCCTGGAGGGTTCTGAGGGATCACAGATGCTCAGCAGTGTGGGGACAACTTCAGCAACAGTTTTAGGGTTGTGGAGTATCTCATGACCCACAGACCTATGACATACTACTGTAGTCCTTAAAACACAGTGAGTGCCAAGTGCTGCTCCATACAACCATACAGAAAGAAATCCAGAACAAGGCCGCTACTTCTACTCATGCATGTGAAAGGTTCAGCCACAGTGAGGCCAGGTGAATTTTATACATTTGCAGTCTTAATGACTGGGGAAAAAAATGCTGTTTTGGCTCTACTGAATAAGTTAACTTGGCTTTAGTAATTAAAAAATGAAATGTTTAAAAGGAGATCAGTCTCAGTGTATTCCAAATCATTTTAACGTACAAATTTAAGAATCTATAATTATATTCTGTTCTTGTGGCTCAGAGCAAGCTGAACCTTTATGCAGGAGGGAAGTTCTCCCATCCACTTCTAAGCAGGTTTCCTAGCTTACCTTCTGTCTGTCTGTCCTCAACGTCACGTGCAAACTTAAACCCACGACTGATATTCCACATAATGAAGAGACTGGATTTATGGAAGCATTAGAATATGAAGACACGACAAATGCAGCAAAGTTTGAAAGAAATCGGACCTCCTTTTTACCCAAGTGGAAATGAAATGCATGCATCAAGAGCAGGCCGCATGCTAGGAACAGAGAACCAAGTGCCCTTGGTGAACCATGCAAAGAAAATAAAAAACTATCCATTCTTCCAATTCCCAAATAGCACATTACTCCACCCTGCCCATACGCCATTGCTCAGAACGCATGCAATCAGCAGTGATGACTTACGTGCTGTTACTCAGAGGAGAATTAAAAGGCTATTGCATAACTCCAAACTACCGTTATGAGGTAAGATACTAGCATGACATAACAATGCTTGAAGTAGTTATTAAAGCTTTGACCAGAGCTGCAGCAAACTGGTTTTCCCTTCCATAAATTGTCAAGAAAGGCTTCCAGAGACCGGTCAGCACATGGAAGATGTTTTTTTGTTTGTAAAAACTGGGACCTATATTTCAAAGGTAGTTGGGACAGTGTCTTTACTCCTTGGCCCCCTGCTGAAACAAAGAAAGCTTAGGTCCACTCCCTAAGCCATTTTACCCCTGTCTTGTTCTTGTTCAGTCAAGGGTAAGCCTTGGCAAGCACTTCTGACACACTCTTCCAATAATTGTGACCCAAATACTTCAGAAAAGGATGTGCACCTATGCGCATAGCTCTGGCTGCCTACTTCAACATCAGTGACAACACAGGTAACTGACTTTGAGTGAAAGGCTGAAGATTTGATCCCCTTAAAAGAGCGAAAGCCAATCACCTCACTAAAATTACAAGCATCTAAGAAATTTATGAAACCAATTCACCTAGATACGTTATCCACAGGGTCTTCTCAGATTGAATATTGACCACCTAAATGCTAATTATCCTGCACAGATGCGGGAGGTTGACTGGGTAGTCAATTTTATGGAGAAATTGATCAGCTAACTCTACAAAACTGTCCAATAAAACAAAGGCTATCTGAACATGGCATTGAACCAAGATGCTAGTGGGGTGTATTCAACCAGTATTCACTGAGTGCCGGCCACAGCCAACACATTTTGTTTGGGGAGATGGGAGATGATAATGATGAATGGAGACCAAGTGTCACTATTTACAGAGCTGCTTCATAGTGATAGGGTCAATTTACTCCCTTTACAGTTTGCAACATTTTGCTTAAGACACATAGTAAAATACTCTTGCTATCTCTAAGAAAAATAAGTCTGAAATCCAAAGACATCTTCATCCCTCTACACCTTGCTTTTCAAAACACATTCTCCACAGTTTAAGAAGCCATTTGAGGAGCTCCCAAAGAGTCCCACCATTAACTAGGATGCTTTTTGCTCATAACTGTGAAACAAAGAATACGTATGATTCCACTTTGTCACATCTTATGTTTCCTTGCATGTCAATGATCTGAGTTGGAACTTTCTCTCTTGTATTATACCACATATTCTTGTTTGCATAGCTCTAGTATATAAGTCAGGACTGTATAGGCTAGGCACTCAGTAAATACTGGGTGAATATTAAAATACTGGATGCCAATGGGGTGAGGGGTAAGGACACAGCACTAAATCTTACAAGGCACACAATAAATACTTGATAAGTATAAAAGTCATTCTATCAGAATGTTTACCCTTATTGATCCAAACATTTTTGCGGAATGGAACTTAAATATTCACTTGGATGTGAAAAACACTAACATTCCAAGAAAACGGATTGTTGCCCTAAAGTCTATCCGAAATTTTAAAATGAAAATTATTTTTGTCTTGTCAACTAATTAATTAAAGAGAAGTCTTACACCCCAGTTTGTAGCAGAGTCCTGGCTTGCCTGCACATGTACTTGATATAGAAGGAACAAGGGAGACCCTCTGGTCTTCTGGACATACATACAGTATGGTAAATGGAATGACATCTGTTAGCCTTAGTTCTCTGGCAGAAACCATGGCACTACTGGGAATGGCCCAAGACTTAACAAAAGAAGATGAAATGTGATTGCTTCAGCAGGAGTCAAAAAGGTAGAAGGGATCTCTATTGACTCATAAGGGCCTCAGCTACGACACTCAATAATTTTAGCAAGCTAACCATTCTCTCATCTGCCAGGGTTTCTCCAAGTTTGCGTCACTCTGGTCACAACACTATCTTTAAAAATGTCAAGTTAGTTACAGTGAAGGCCAGCTAGAACCCATCAAGCTTGAAGACTCGGCACCCAACAGCTTGGAGGAGAACCCAGAATATCCACACTGCAGGAGAACTGGAGTGTGTGATATTTGGCATTTTAAAAAGACTTTCAGGATGACTGTTTTTGAAGGACAGTTGTTCTTGAAACTGCATTCCCATTTGGGATGCAAAATAAAAGCTGGAATAAAACTTACCCTCCCACCCACCCCCAATTTTATATATATATATATATATATATATATATTAAAATAAAAGAAATACAGCCAATCAAACTTTTATGTGATTTTTTTTAAAAAAAAACAATTTGTAATAAAGAGTAAGGAGGAATACTCATGCTGTATAAAGTCAATGATATTTGATCAACATTTTCCCTGACCCTTCCTTTGAGGAAGAGAATATCTGAAGGCCATCAGAGTTCTAACCACACAAATTCCTGGCCCAAAGAATGAAGAAAACAACTGACCAAATTAGAGGAGTGAGGTGGAGGTGGGAATCTGTTAGAACAAGCGACCGACTGGTTCTTTTGGTGTCAGGCTTGTTGGTTTCCCACTGTGCTGGGTGCAGAGTGAGGCAGCCTGGGTCTCACAGAAGCTTGGGTTACATGATTCCTTACAAAAGCATGGTAAGAATGGATGCAGAGTTTCGTGTTTTTAAGGAGTCCGGCATGCGCTATTCAGATGCAGGTCTCGATATCCAGGAAAGGGAAAGGTACCTTGCACTCATCTATCATGACAGAGTTGTGTGCGGCATAGACGCACTGATTGGAGTTGCTTTCCCTGTGGCTCTTGGAGTCATCGTAAATGGACTGCGTCTTGGTCATTTCGATGTCTTCATGCATACGGTGTTGGGAGTCAATGGTGTCCAGCTCAGACTTGGAGAGGTGATAAACGATCCCAGCTCCGAAAGAATCACCCACAACATTGACTGAAGTTCTCATCCTGTCCCTAGAGGTAAAGAATAGGATTTGAGTGAAAAAATATACCCTTTCTGTGAACCTGTAGAGAATATTTCAGAGGGTTGCTGGAAACAGCAAGTATATAGACTGCATTTCCTCCTCATGACTTATGTTGCAAGTTCTGTACTGAAAAAAAAAGTGGTTGTTAATGAATTTTTTTTTTTTTAAAAAAAAGGCTTATCTTAGCAAATCTGTACCAGGAAAGCTCAGTGCGTTTAATTTTTTTTCTTTATTATTATTATTTACTACAATATTACAATTTATTCACTTTGTATCCTGGCTGTAGCACCTTACCTCATCTCCTCCCAGTCCCATCCTTCCTCCCTCTTCCTCTCCTATGTCCTTCCCCTAGTCCACTGATAGGGGAGGTCCTCCTCCCCTACTATCTGACCCTAGCCTATCAGGTCTCATCAGGACTGGCTGCAACCTCTTTCTCAGTGGCCTAGTTAGGCCACCTTGCCATGGGGAGGTGATCAAAGAGTCAGCCACTGAGTCCATGTCAGAGATAGCCCCCACTCCCCTTGTTAGGGAACCCATTTGGAGATTGAGCTGCCATCGGCTACATCTGAGCAGGGGGTCTCAGTCCTCTCCATGCATGGTCCTTGGTTGATTCATCAGTTTCTGCAGGACCCCCTGGGCCCAGATTTTTTTTGTCTCTGTTGGTCTCTTTGTGGCGCTCCTGTCCTCTCTAGGTCTTAAGGGTAGTTGTGCTCTCCCTTGGGAAGAACCAGCTGATCAGTGTGAAAGAGCCTTTGACCACACTTCTATACCTCCAAAGTTCTATCAAGGAAGGTGATGGGCAGTCACAAGGGAAATAAATAGGTAAACAAATAAGGATGTGTGAAAAATAAGAGAAAGGAGATGATGTAATGCTATTGCCAGGATAGTCTTAGTTGAGGACACTCACCTTCCATTCAAATTCTGAGCATGATTAAGTCACGGGCAGAATGGAAATGTTCATTTTATAATTAGAACAATGACCTAAAATAAATCCTATTTGATGTGATGTAATTTATCCGTCATTAGGAAGTAGGAATGATGAAGCTGCACTAGAAGGAATCTGGCTGGCTCCCTTGCAAGTCCAGCTGTCCTGATTTCAACCAGGCACATATGCCCATAATGCTGGGGCAGGTGTCAAGTGATCAGAACTGAATTGAACTCTTGAGTGTGTCTCTGCTTAGAGCGCACTGGGCCCTCTTTGGCTCTTGAGCATCTGGCAGAGGGGTGGTCGAGGCTGTACCTAAATGAAGAATAGGCTTGAGGACAGCCACAGGTACTTGAAATTGATGGTTAAGGACCCCCCCCCCAGCATAAGTGTGCAAAAAGGAACACAGGATAGGAGTTAAGACAAGGTGTTAGACATTTAGATTGGAGCATAAAACTCCACTGTGCTACTGTACAGCAGGGTCACTAGAACAGCCAACATCTAGTGTACATTTCAAAGACAGAAGAAGGACATGGGAAGCTTTTATCATAAAGAAATTTTTGGAAGACATACATATTTAACTTGACTAAGATACTACACATACACACACACACACACACACACACACACACACACATATATATATATATATATGCATCAAGATATTATGTGATACCACTAATATATATACAATTGTATGCTTTAGAGGATTAAAAAACATACAATTATATGTATAGTTTTTATGTACATCAGCTAAAAGCGGCTGAGATGTAGCTCAGAGATAAAGAAATTATCTAGTATGTGCAATGACTTGGGTTTTATCCATGGCACCATAAGAAACGAATCAAAGAACAGACTCCAGAGGCAGCCTGGTTAGGACTCAAATGCAAGCTTTGTCCCCTACTGCTGAAACTCTTAGCCTATTAATATTTGTGGGCCTTCTCAAAATTGAAACAACAAAATGGCCAGGACACAGGGTTGTTATGAAGATAAAATAATATAAACAAAATGCTTATCACAGTTTCAGACATTTGCTAAAAACCACTTTTAAAAAGGTATTTAGCCTGATTATAAGGTATATATAATATATTTCTATAGGTTTTATCTACTCGATTTAAATATTTTTGACAGTTTCTAGGCAGCACATCCAAACATGCCTGGTTAAACTACTGTCTCCCCCTGAAAACATTAACCCTATTTTTCCTCCAACTCTTATAATATGCAAGATGTGGCAGACAATGCCAATTACCACTTCGAGTTCATAGAAAATAGAAGTACCTCTAGGTTTTAGTAACAAAGACACTGCTATTGATCCACTGAGAGCCATTTATAAGGACAGAACCTGGCTCTTGCAAGTTGTTTAAAAGTTGTGAGGAGAAGGAGGGACAGGAGGTATGTATATATAAACCTTTTCCAAGAAGAAAAAGGAGAAAAGGAGTAGTTGATGAGAGAGGCAGATAATATGGAGGACTTCTGGGTTGTTTTTCCTTTAAAAGTGAAATACTTGAGGTTGATTAAATGTCAAAAGAAGGCCATTGAGAAGACAAGACTAAAAAAATAGAGAAAAGATGATGATCTCTGGCAATGAGTCCTGGACAGATCTGAGAGAATGGGATCCAAAGTGGAGATAATGGTAATATCTTTTGGCAAAGGGACTAAATTCTATCACCAAAGAAGATAAAAGACACAGGAAAAGTTTATGAAGAGGGGGTCCTTAGGGAGATGCCAGGAGTTAAAGGTTTTATGTCAAACAGCAAGATGCCAATTTAGATTAAGCCCCATCCTGCCTACTTCCTCTGCTACTATGCATCCTAGGAAAATTCCCAGGATGCCCAGTCAAGAGATTAGTCATGGCTATTCTATTTGTATCTTTTCCCCACCCAGAAAATAGTGGAAAGCCAAGCAACTTCTATACCACCAGGGAAATGTCTTACTGACTCTAGGGAAGTACAACTCTGGCCCGAAGAAGGATATGAGAATTTCTGGTTCATGTGCAGAAAGTTTTCCACAAGCAAATAACTTTCATTTTCTAACACAGTTACTCCTGACCTCCCGGGAAAGTCTGTCTTTCATGTTGATCTCAGTAGTAGAGAGAAAGATGGGGTGGGACAGAGGAAGAAGATGAAAGGAGAAAGAAGAGGAGAAGGAGGAGGAGGAGGAGAAAAAAAAACAGAAATGACAAAAATAAATAAATAAAAGGAACAGAACTGTTGATGTTACCTCTGGGATTCTGTCTGCTAGGGTAGCAAGAAAGTAAAAGAGCTGAGAGCAGAATCTTGCCTTTAATGAATTCACTATAAATGGCACAGCTCATCTTTCTGGGCTGGCAGGAGCCAAAAACAAGAGGGAACTGAACAGTCCTGCACACCAATCACTGGGTCTGTCTTATTTTAAAAAAAATATTTGCCAAGGTACTCTGGCTCTTTGTTTCTCTTGGTCCGAGTCCTCTGGCAGGGAGGTGTGAGACATTCTCAAAGTCCAAGTTCTCACAGGAAGTGCTGGGGCACGAAATGATCGTTGCTGCAGATGTGAAAGAACCAAAGGCTGGAAGGTATCATAGAGCTCAACCGCGTAGAAATCAAGCATATTGCAAGTTCTCAGCCGGCAGGATGCTGACTGACCTGGAGGAGCCTAGCTCACCTAGTGGTGCTGACCTGGGGCAGGCTGGCACTGGGGGCATGGGGAGAATCACGTAACTATTGTTGGTTAATATGTGATTGGATTGCAGCCTGGGGCGCCAACCTGGCTCTAAAAGGCAGGTCAGTTAGCTTTTCCTGTGCGGCTTTCTCATTTGTCAGAATCAGAACAGTGACCCACCCACGGGGAAGATAATAACTGCTGACAGGCCACCTGAGAGGCTCTTCACAACACCCTTTGCATATGAAAGGCTGATATGGCACAAAATAAGTGGCATTCCATTAGCTCCTTGTGACATCGCTATTATTAGCCAAGTGATGGGTACACTTCTCCTTTAATTCTCTCACCAGATGGATACTCCTTGTTTTGCACCTAGCACACTGTTGGGATTTCTTAAGCACACCACATCTGGTTGTTGTTTTGAAACTTCTTTACTAAAGTGTAAACTCTTTGGATACTGAGATGATGTTTTATAGTTTCTATGGAAGAATTGGCTCCAGGACCTCCTACGGATACCCAAATCCACAGATGCTCAAGTCCCTTACACCAAATGTTCTAACATTTGCTTATAACCTGCAGGCCCCTCCCCGTGTACCCTAAATCGCCTCTAGATCACTTACAGTACCCAACACAGTAGAAACACTGCATAAACACCTGAATTACATTGTTTTGGGAAGACTCCTAAGACAAAAATGTCTGTACATGATCAGTTCAGATGCATTCTTAAAAATGGTTTCTATCTATGCTTGGTTAAGTCTGAGAACACAGAAACCAGAGAGCATTCAGTGTGGCCCCAAGAAGGGAGGGAGACTTGGGAAGTAGATAGGAGCAGGAGCAAGAATAGAATGAATTGTTCCTTTGGATTAGAAGCAGAGGAACTGAAGATAAAGAGAGGGTTGTTTGCTCATCAAAACATCTGGCAGGATTATCACTGTGAAAAGCGAGGATGCAGGCAGGCATCATCCAAAAGGAGGAGGGAGTCATAGAAATCCAGCCTGAAGGGGGTGAACAAAGAGCTTGTAAAAGACTCAATGAGAAGAACAAGAGGACTCAGCAAAACAAAGAGATTGAACGTGGCCAAGTCAAGGCAGGGGAGATCACGAGACATGTAGGACAGTAAAGAGATGATTTATAGGGAAAGAGATTCTCTGTATTTAAATTTTCATTGCTGGGGCAGGTTCAGCAGTTCCAAGCCTGTACTGCTCTTTGCAAAGGACCTGAGCTTGATTCTCAGCATCCACATGAGGTACATCACAACTGAGACTGTACTCTGGACCAGGAAACTGTACCCACGTGCACATACCTACAAATGCACATGAATAAAAATGAAACAAAAAACTCTATAAAAATTTCCTTCCTATGCTGATATAATTGTAATTTCAGGGTTCAGACAACAGTGAGACTCAGTTGTAGGTGACAGAGACTTT